CAGCTCCCCCAGCTCCTCTTCCGCTCGCAGCTCCCGCTCTGGCACAGCAGGTGCCGTGCTCCCTATCGGGGCCCTCTCAGTGCCCTCAGTTTCCTTAGGGGCCAGGGGGCTGCTCTGGAGAGACAAAGACAGAGGCTGACAGGGATGTTTCCAAAGGGGCTGGGTCACAGCTGGGCAGAGGTGCAGTGCCCAACTCTGCCACCCCTGCTCCTGGCGTCACACTGCCTCAACTCACATAGCGGGTCGCTGCGCTGTGGGCTGCCTCCTCCTCGATGCTGTCGGTGAAGTTAGTGCTGGCATCATCAGCGTTTATCCCTGTGGCCTGACCTAGGGGACAGCATAGCACAATGAAGAGCTCAGAGCAGTAGCAATAGTGGCACTACCTCTGTTTTCTTCTCCCTGGTGATGCCCACGGAGATCATGGGCAGCTCCAGAGCAGGCTCCTTCTCTCACATGTGCCTGGTACCAGGGCCCTGCCAGCAGGACTGAGGTCTCCCTGCTGTCCCTGTGCTCTGCCACCCTCTCTGTGTGCTGGAGCTCCAACCTAGCACCTGCACAGAGGGAGGGGACAGTTCCAGCTGCCCACAGCCAGCATGACACCCCAGCAATGACACCTGTCCCATCCACATCTCTGCCTTCGCACCACCTTGTGCTTGCTGCCTGGACACATATGCATACGTGCCATCCGCCCTGCAGCCACTTCACAAGACACAGCCAGCAGCAGCAGCCCGTGCTTGGGCAGGGAGCCTCACTGGCACTGCCCAACCTGGCAGGGGTGCAGGGTCAGCCCAGAGAAGGCACCGATAGCTGCCCTGCCCACACCACCCAAACCCTGCACTAGCCTTGCAGGGCTGCAGCAGAGCTAAAGGTCTTGTGACCCATACTATCATCCATGGGGCCTGGGGCCCACCCTGCCATGCAGAGCTGAGGCCATGCTCTTCTGCTTGCACGCAGCGAGGCTCCTAGCCCCTTGGTGCACAGCCCAGAGCGAGGGCTTGCACCCCTTGTTTGGGCAGCCTTCCTCCCACCCAGCTCCAGAGGCCTGTCTGCTCCGCTCAGGCTCAGACTGCCTGGGCTGGGACACAGGTGTATCCCCAATCTCTCTTCTCCCCAGGGAGACAGGAGCTCGAACAGGGCCCAGGACCAGCCTCTGGGGCTGTGCAGGGCCAGGTTTCACAGCTGCCTGTGCCCCACAGGAGATGCCGCTGCTTTGCCCATGGCCAAACCCAGCACCACCAGGGCTGGAGCTGCCAGGCAAGGCTGAACAGGGAGCAGGGGAACACAAAGAAATCCTGGCAGGGAGAGAGAGGCTGAACACAGCTGGTGAAGGAGAAGCCAGCCTGGAAGCATATGGCTCCTGGGAGCAAGTGCCAAGGACCAGCCAGGAGCCCACCTTGCAGCAGGGCAGGTGGTTGCATTGCATACTGTGCACAGAGATAGTAGCACACTCAGATGATTCACTCATGACAAGCAACTGCCAGGAGGTTGCAAAAATCAGGGACACCTCACTGCCAAGCCTGGGCAGACATCACCCTGCCTGGTGGAGCCCATTTATCGAAGCAGCCATGTCCTACGGAGAAGGGTTATTCCAGGAGCAAAACCCTTAGAGGCAGCTGGAAGTGACAGCAGCACCACCATGAAGCAGCTCTCGCAGGTGGCATTCAGCATAGCCAAAGCACGGCCCTGCGAGCCCCCAGGGACACAACCCACCAGGTGACAAAGCAGCCAGGGCTACAGCTCAATGCCTGCAGGGCCCCGAAGGGTGAGGGGATGGAGACCCTCAGCTGCTGGGCTCTCAAGCTGGGTCACCATGTCTGAGAGGCTGGGGCAAGGTGGCTCCCAGCCAACACAGCTGCTCTAAGGTCATGGGAGAACACCTTTTGTGCCAGGACACAGCACCCCACTTCTCACCGTCACCTGCAGCTCTGCACAATTCCCAGTGCTCCAGGGAGGAGCAGAAAAAGGAAGCACAAATCTTAAGGGTGGGGGGGAAGAAAGGGGAAAAGAAGCTGGTGCTGGGGGAGCAGAGAAGCATGCACGTAGGGCAGACTGTGCCAGGCTGCTGTTCAGCAGCAGCACACCAGGGTGCCAATTCAAAGGGACAGAGGCTGCTCAGCTCTCTGTGTATCACCAGCAAAGGAGACAGGAGATGCAACCCCAGCACTTTGTCACAGGCTCCTCTGTCTTTCACACCCAGCCTGAAGGCAAAGAGAATTAGTTGCATCACTTGAAAATTGCACACAGCCCACAGGCACAGGACACCCAGGTGCATTGGCTGTGCTGGAAGTCTTGACACATCTGGGAAGAAGGGAAGGGAAGCAAGGTCCTCAGGGAAATCAAGAAAGGAAGGAGAGACCTCCACAAAGAGCTGTGAGACAGCACAAAGCACTGCACAGTTTGACAGAGGGAGCTCTCAGACATGGGATGCTCAGGCTGGTCATCCTGCAAGGCAGAGGAATGCACAGACAGGGATATTAGGGATGAAAGAAGGCCCTAAAGAACAGAGTGGAAAAGTCAGGACACTTCAACCTAGGATAATGCTCCCCTCGTGGGGCGCTTTACAGCACTGATGGTAGCAGAGGCCAGGGACAGATCTGCAGCAAAACAAGAAGAAAAACACACAAGAAGAGATGGGAGCTGCTGGAGCACCAGCTAAGACTTCCCTCCTGCCACACCAATGAGTCTGTGCTGGGTCAGGGGCTCCTTGGTACCCAAGTGACCAGGGAGCCAGCTAGGCATCAGAGCCAGGATGGAGGAGGAAAGGTGGAAAGATAAGGACTGGGACACAAAGGCTTTTACACAGTGAGAGGCAGAAGGAGAAAGAGAACATGGTGCTACACAGAGAAGTGAGAGGAAGGGAATGAGATGAAACACAAGAAAGGAAAAGCTAACCAAGTACCCGACTGACCAGCAGCCACTAGCTGTGTCCCTTCAGGCCACATGAGAACTGCTGAACTCACCACGCAGCTAGGTGCAGACCCAGAGGAGCAGTGCTGACGTGCTGCACATGAAGGGAGAGCTGTGGTGCCTCCTATCCCTGTCTGAGGCAGGGAAGAGAAGACGTCAGCATGGGTCTAAGGCATGGGATAGGTGGTGCCACGTGAAGCAGCCACAAGGCGACATGCAGCAGAGTAGTCACAGGTCCAGGTGCGCAGCCCTGCAAGATGGAGCTCTTCTGCTCCCCCTGCTCCTAGTTTAGCTTACCAGCAAGCGGAAACACAGGTGCCCAGAGGTACAAAATTTGCTCTTGCCGCCTTGGGAAGTGACCAAGTACGAGACAGCTGATCCATTGCCTGCTGCGCATGGGAAGCGCTGGTCACTGGAAAGCTGTTGCTATTGTTTTTCTGCTCTTACACCAGCCCCAACACTTCCAGAGGAGGTGAAAGATACCCTAGGAAACGTATGTAATAGTGCCAAGTGGGACTGCCCCCAGCAAAGCAGGAATCGGGCCCTGCCCATTGCCCAGGGGGCATGTGGAGCCTGCAAGTGAGATGTGCGCATAAAAGTGAGGGAGCAGCCCCAGCCCAGACCCTGGGAGCAGGGGCAGGTCTCAGTCACCCCAAACCATCTGTCAAAAAGAGGAGGAAGCTCTCCCTTGAGGGCACTCACAAGCCAGGCTGAGACAACTTGCAATGGTGGGGAGGGGGGAAAAAAGAAAAAAAAAAGTCAGTAAAATCACCAATATTGGAGTAGGATTTGATTTAAGCATAAATGAATTGTTGGTTCTACACTCAGATTTGTGTAAGAGCCCCAGGCAAGTGCCACCAGGTCTTGCAGCCCTTGTCAAATTCTCTGACTCTGGAATCCACTTTTCCATATATCCCTTATCCTTTTTGGCCAGCCACCATCAACCCAAGAGGGGGATGTCACTGGGTAAGAAAAATGGGGAGGGAATACAAAAACTCACACTCATGCACTTGGGAGATAATAGAGAACATCTGGTGTTTCCTTCAGAGAAAGGGAATCTTTATTTGGCCTATGGATGTGGGAGAAGGGAGATGGAGGGAAATCAACTAAAATGGAATGATTTGAATGTGCAAATACATCAGCGGCCACCAGGGTGGGTCAGACAGGAACATAACACGAGACACAGGTGGATTGCACTGATCGCCGTTCCTGAAGCAGCTCCAAAACAAGACAAGAAGCCCTGCACCAGTTCTACCGTACCATTACTAAGTACCGGAGCAACCCTCCCAGAGTCAGTGAGACAGGCTCGCTCAGTTAGTGAACCGTTTCCGTGGCAGGCAGGCGAGCGTCAGTGCTCAGAAGGCATGCTGGGGTAGGACTCTCACACGCTCCTGTTCCCCACCTCCTATGGTGCCCTGCGTCTCCAGCCTGCTCAAACGCTCCAGGCTTCTTCCAAGAGCTTCTTCCAGCTGTCCCCGGAGCTCCTGGACACCCTCCAGCTCCACCTGCAGAGTGTGGTCTCTCGCAGCACTAAGCAGACACGTCGCATGAAAGGGAAGAGGGTTAGACAGGCTGCAGCAAGCGCACACCAAGTTGGCCTCTCCATCCAGGACTGCCACTTACTCCAGGCACAGGCCCTGCATGCTCCCCAGGCAGCTCGGCCACCTCTTGCCTCACCTCTAAATCTCCCTAGAGCACAGCCATTCCCAAAAAAGGCTCCAGCTCATGGTAGGGGACTGTAGTCACAGCTGTTCTTCAGTACTTACCCAAGCACTCCACTTATGTGCTCTCTTGCTATCAGGTAGCTCAAATATCCCAGAGGCTGCAGCCCCATGAAGGGCAGGGAATTAGTGCAGAGGACAAGGAATGCAGGCCATACTGCACTGTGGGACAGCCACCGGGATAAGCACCTAGACAGATCCTTATCAACCCAACAGTTGGTTGGGAATTTGACAGCAGCCTCTGAAAGGTGGCCAAGTGTGGGTGGGAAGCTGAGCCAGGAAGGGATAAGCCAGGGAACAGAGATGGAAATCTCAGGGCCTGAACAAGAAGTGGCAACGGGGAGAGTTTATGTAGCATTTAAAGCTGGCCACTGCAGCCTCTTTGAGGGAAGAAGGCAGCCTAAAACTTGGACTCCCAAAGCTGCATTTGTCTGATTCTTTGTCTAGACTCCCTCTTTCCCACTGAGGGCTACCAGACTCGCAGAATGATCACTGCTTCAGGGACTGCCCCACTAGACCACCCCCGCTTGCCCCAGCAGCTGAGCAGGGCAGCACGGAGCCGAGGCAGCCTCGCTTACCTGTCTGGGTGCGTGTGAAACTTCACCAGGCTGCCATAGAGCTGCCTCTCTGCCTGGAGAGCCTCATTTAACCGATTCCTTTCAGCCACCAGCCCTTCCAGCATCAGTAACAACTGGTTGGAGAGAAGAGACAAGATGCAATGCTTCGAGACAGAAACTGAAGGAGGCATCTGGTTGCCCCAGAGAAACAGGGGCTTCCCCTTTCCCTCTTGTTTGTGTCCAAGAGATGTGTCACCCAAAAACCAGTGACTCCCAAAAGACTCTGCCCTTGAGACAGGTGCTAAAGGGAACCAATCCTCCCCTCTGTATTCCCCCTATTGTAAACAGCCAGATTCCAAGAACAAGCACATCTCAGCATATCCAAAGGCTGAAAACAAAACCTCATAACCCAGCACCAGTGGAAACAAACACATCCAAGCTTGCCACACATGGCAAACTACCTGCTGCCTTCTGTTTCCAGTAGTCTCTTGTCCTCGTGACTCTGCTATGGCCACTTTCTCCCGAAGCACCAGCACCTCTTGTGTCAGCCTTTCCACGGCTGGAATTTCTTCAGGATCCACCAGCTGCATCTGCAGATCCTGAAAACCAAGAACAGGCAGGCTCAGTGAAGAAGGGATCAGTAACGAAGGCAGCTGGATCTTCATAATCCTCCCTGGAATGCAACTGCCAAAAGTTTCCAGTGTTTGGAAAGACCCAGGTCTCATAAGAAAGAAATGCCAAAGCATCCAGAGTGTATTAGGCACAGACGACAGCCTGGAGCAAGAAGTGAGACGGGACACAAAGCACTCTGTTTAAAGGACTCGAAGGGTGTTTGGTACACAAGGAGCAAAAAACGAAACAACACTCTGGGGGTTTGGGGCCTTTGCCTTCTGGCCAAAGTAACACAGAGATCTGTAGGTAAACCAGCAGCAATACTATCCATGGACAGTCAGCCTCTTACTCTTAGGATGCAGGGAAAGAAGAGACTCCTCTGCAGCCTTTCCAGGCAGAACTGATCCAGCTTAGCGCATTATCTCACCTTGATGAGGTCCTCTTTGATCTGGATGGTCCTGGTCAAGGACTCTATATCCGAGGCCTGCACCTGCAGCTCTTCCTCCTGCGTGGCCACAACAGACTGGAGAGCAGTGAGCTCCCGCTAGGGAGGGAAGAGAAGCCCATGAAAGTCTTCAGAAAGCCAAAACCCCACTGCAAGCTGCTGCCCCATTTCTCTCACTGGGGGCACTGCCACAATAGGGGGGTCCAAAACTTCCAGTGAGGGGCAGCCCAATGGTCTCCTGTAAGCAAGGGAGATCAGCACAGGCTTCACTTACCCTGCTCTCCCTTTCCTTCTTTGCCATTAGCTCCAGCTCCTCTTTGGCGTTAACAAGATCCTTCTCCAGTTCTGCTGCTGACGTCGTAACTGCAAAGACAGTTGGTTACTACAGAGTTACTGTGCATCAGCTCTGACCCCAGGATTAGACAGAATCCCTCTTCAACAAGACAGGTCCACAATGCTGGCAGTCCCCATCATGCTACTTCTTTGTAAACACTTTTTCCCTGCTGAAACCTTAAGCAACAGCAACATCCCAGCCTGCAGTCCCACCCCTGGCTAAGTTCAGGTGTCCTGGCCCCAGGGCAAAATCCAAACCAGTTGCACTTGTCTCAACCCAGCCTCAACCATAAAGTCAAAAACCCTTCACTGGACAGCATCAGATCTTCAGTGGAAGCACCTCACCTCAAAGCTGACAATAGTCTTTCTCTTTCCCACACTCTCATCCCTGAACCGTCACCCAAAAGGGCGGCACAGCTTTATTTCAAAATACACACTCTTGCTCAAAGCTCTTTACTCTCTCAGTTTCATGTAAGCATGTAACCAAAAAGCCCTGGTCGTGTTTGGGGACCTCAAAAGATGCTGTCACCACACTCACCTCCCTCTGTCCTGCAGCTGCTGTCCCCCTGTGGGGGTCCGGCAATGGCTGTAGCTCCACAAGCTCTTTGCAGTACTTCCTGAAAACACAAAAGCCTCCAGATTTGCACCTTTATGGAGAACCTAGCACCTGCAGCTTCCCCAGAGCTCCAGGACTGCAGCAAAACTGCTGGCTGCTTTGCTGATGCCTCTGAAATGTCAGAAATCAATGAAGGAAATCCGGCCATGCAGCGGGGACAAATTGCACCCAACCTAGAAGCTGTATGTGTGGGTAAGAGGGCTCTGGCCTTGGTTTACGTGGCACTAGGAGGTCGCTGGCAGCGAGCGTCTTCCTAGTACGGATTAAACATGTTTCCCTCAACTGCAGCAAACCCAGCTTTCAACTGAGACTCTACAAAGACCTACATTTTCATCTAAAGATGTGGCCCAGAGGACCCTGCAGGAAGGAAAACACAGACCTTGGCCCACATACTCATCCCTGGAAGTGTCTAGAGCTCACTTCGATCCTGGGAATAGAAACGAGCAACCTGTTTACAGCTGCTTTAAAATGTTCAATGTGTCAGCTCACCAATAAACCATTAACAGCTGCTCAAGTAGGAGCATGGCACACGTAGCCTTGGAGTTGTGTTCAGCCTCAAAGGGGTTTTTAGCAAAGCTGCTATAAAAATACCAACTCCAATTGTGGAAGAGACAGCAAACAGCCAGCAGGCTCTGCCAAGAATTAGTGGGACCTAAAATTAGCTCTCTTGTCCCCTCCAGAATGTGACAATGTCAGTGAGGGGATTACAATACAGCAAGGCAGCCCAGCCCAAGGAAGGACTGGGTCAATGCTGGAAGGTCAGAGGGTGGATTTCTTTCATACTCTCACATGCCCTAAGGACTCAAATACTGCCTGATCAAAACAAAAGGAGACACTAAGTGACAAAGGCTGGTGGAATCAAGATCAGAACACCCAAGCAGCATTTCTGCTCCTCCGTTTTTTCTCTTCTGCCTATAGGAAGTCTCTTCCCTAATCCCACTTTCATTTCTATCATTCTCTGTGGTGCTCCCCTCTCTTCCATTTCCTCCTGTTGCCACCAGTTCTCTCTGGAGCCCCTAGGCCACAGGCACAGAAACACAGTTCACAATTCTTACTTGTATGGGCTGTTTGTCCTGCTTCAACAGCCTGGCACCAGCCAACAAGGTCCCGACAGGCTCCTTTCCCAACACATGCTGGCGTAGGAGTTGTAACTCACTGCTCCTTTCAGCCAAAGCGTGCGCCATCTTCTCAGCAGCCATCTGATTGAGCAGGAAAAATAGGGAAAGGCAGGGCTGTGATCAGGGGTAGGATCACTGTCCTTCACCTTCCTCAAAGACTAAGGGAAACCATCTCAATATTCACCTGTCACTTGAGACTGGAAGTGATCTGCAAAACAACCTGGGAGCTACTGCTCCTGGCCACTCGTGGTGACTCCACCGCGACCCTCCCATCTCTGCTTGCCAGAAGCTACAGCAAGGCCTGGCCTCTCTGCCTACAGAGGAACAAGCTCCTCAGCTTCTCATACCCCATTCCAGAAGAGAGAAAGACAGAGGGCAGACAAAGAGCAGGAGACAGTGCTTGGCCTTTTAGCCCCCTTTTTATGAAAGGAAACTCAATGCAAAGAGTCTTGGGTAACACTGACCTGCACCCAGTGTGCAAGAGCAAGCAGAGTGGGAACCATGGCTCTTTAACTGGTGTTTACATGCCCAGGACGACGTGTTTGACTAACACATAAGTTAAGATGCAATGCGCAGAGCTTCCTCAGGCTACTGCACCACACAAGAAACAGCTCGGAGTCTTCCTTTTTGGTCTGGTAAGACCCACATGAAGCAGCAACCATCCCACTGCCCCTTCTGCTGCCCCAAGCCCAGGAACACAAATATCTAGGAAGATCTGCACCTCCTTCCCCATCAAGCACACAAACCCCATGCAGTCCACTTAATGATAGGGACCTGACACCTGAACACTGCTACAAGAGCTGCTGCTTCTTAACTGCTCTCATGTGATGGCTTGAGACCAACCTAGGAACAGCTGATGGCATCTCATGTGTTCTTCAACACTCAGCAGTTCCACCAGGCTACATCAACAGCAGCCAGAGAGCAGTTTCCATATGCTTAATATGCAAGGCAGAGCCATCCATTCGGCACTGGTGAGGCCGCACCTGGAATATTGTGTCCAGTTTTGGGCCCCTCGCTTTAAGAGAGATATTGAGCTCCTGGAGCGAGTCCAAAGAAGGGCGACCAAACTGGTCAAGGGGCTGGAAAATAAAACTTATGAGGAGCGGCTGAGGGAGTTGGGGCTGTTTAGCCTGGAGAAGAGGAGGCTGAGGGGAGACCTGATTACGGCCTATAAATACTTGAGAAAAGATGGTGGGGAGGTAGGGGAAGGGCTCTTTACATTAGTGACGGGTGATAGAACAAGAGGAAATAGGCACAAGCTTAGTCAGGGGAGATTCAGGTTGGATGTTAGGAAGTATTTCTTCTCTGAAAGGGTTGTCAGCCACTGGAATAGGCTGCCCAGGGAGGTGGTTGAGTCCCCATCCCTGGATGTGTTTAAGAATAGGGTGGATGAGCTACTTGAGGATATGGTTTAATGGGGATTAGGGATGGTTGGACTCGATGATCTCTAAGGTCTTTTCCAACCTAGAAATCTATGAATCTATGAATCCACCCCAGCCTCCCCACTGTGGCAGTGCACACAACTCACTCGGCTCTGCTGCTCCTTGGTGCTCATGGCCTGCAGCAGCTCCCGGATTTCTGCATCATGCTCCATGGTCTGACGGTTCCTGTCACTGAGGAGATCCTGCAGCATCTTCTCCTTGTGCTGGAGACGCAAGCACAGCTCCTCTGCTACCTCGCTCTGCCCTGGGCCCAGCTTGCACAGCAGAGTTGCTGTAAGCTCCTGAACAAGAGGGAGGAAGGGAAAGATGGAGACACACAGCTACCATCAAACTCCAAACTGTTTAAGGATGAACAGCTCTTTAGCCTGGGCCTAGCTGAGAGAGCAGTGTCTCAGCAAGCACAGGTATTTACAGGTGCCAAAAGCAGCCAGCTTCCAAAGCACTGGGCACAGGTTCAAGTGCCCTCCTTAGAGGTAGGCAGCCAGGAGGCTCTGCTTCGGGACCACTCTCTCTGCAGACAAACTGGCTGAAGGGTCAGGAAGGCAAGCGAAGGCCTTACCTCCACTTCTTTGTTCCTGTCATGCAGGCAGGTCTGCAGCTGCTGGATGATCCCCTCCTGCTCCTTCTGCCTGCTGCAGGATTTGGCCTCGATCTCCTCCTTGAGCCAGCGGAGGTTTTGGCAGGTTGCTGAGACCTGCTCTAGTTCCAGGGTTTTGGCTTTCAGGAGGCTCTCCAGGCTCTGGGGACCACAACAGAAGCAGCTCAAGCAGGGACAGAGACTTTTATCCTGAATTAAGCAGAACTGGAAATACCCGTCTCTCCTGCTAGTAGAGTCAGAGATTCACCCTTGTCCTCTCCAGACCCCACACCCAGCCCAGGAACATGAGCCACCCAGGAACTTGCCCCACACACAGAGCCAGAGGAAGGCCAACACCCTGCAGCCGCTCTCCCAAGCGAGAATCAGAACATTCACAGGAAGGTTCATCTAGCAGCACACCACAGCCAGGCTGGACTCTATGTGCCTAGGTACAAGAACTCACATGAATGGTGGCCTCGTTGCTGGATAGGACATTGCGCAGTCTCTCCAGGTCACTTCCACGCTCCCTTATTGAGAGATGGAGTTGTTGCAGCTCTTGCTCCTTCTTCTCCAGGGCACAGAACTTCTCATCTACTGCTCGCTAGGGTGAGAGGGGGTGATCACTCAGAATAGATTAGTAGGGCTGTGCAGCCTATGACTCATTGTGTGGGGCACCTCAGCTCTCCCTTTCAGAGGACTCCTCTGGAAGGCTGAGCCATGAAGAGCATGCAGAAGACATGGTCACCTCTGGGGTCCACCTGAAGCTGCACTACTGATGGTAATGCAAGGTTGAGCCTCAGGGAAAACGGAGACATCGTCAACAGACTGTGCTTACCTCCAGAGCAGCATCCCTGTCACTGACTCGCTGCTGCAGTTTCTCCAGCATGGCATTCACGGCAGCAGGGCTCTTGTCCAAGCTTTGCTGGCACTGCAGAAGCTCCCTTGATTCCTAGAGGTCATACACACACACTCCTAGTACAAGCATCAGGCCAGAACCCTCCCAGGAAGCCGCACAGGAGAATCAGGGCTAACTACCTCCACCCTACACTTGCTCTACCCCCTACATTAAAGCGTGGTAGGTCCCAGCACCCAGGGCTGTCTGATTAGTGCCTGCCAGGGCTCACCAAGCACTGCTGTGGGCTGAGGTACTCATCTGTGGGCCACCTTTCTCATCCTGGAAGCCCAGAAGCATCTCTTTCCTTTCCTTCTTCAAAGGGCATGTGTGAAAGCTACAGACTGACTTCTGCATTGTCAAATACCAAAGAAGGAGCAAGGGCCCTGGCTAGTTATGCTCAACTTGAATCTTTCTGCATCTCACCTGCAGAAGCTGTTCCTTACGAGCAAGATGCTGACTCAAACACTGAGCTCTCTGCGCCTGGGCCTGCAGCTCACGGCATTTCTCCCACTCCACAGTCTGGAGCTGCTGAGTCTTTTCCTGCAGCTCTGCCTGCAGCTGCTGTACCACAGCACGCAGCTCCTGCAAGGGAAAAGCACATATCTTGGCAGTCAGTCCTCAACAGACCTGTAAACAGCAGGCCAACCTGAAGAAGCCACAAGCAACAATGGCTGTGGGAACAGCCAAAAACGCTCTGCAATACTACAGCTTTCACATCTCAAAACACGCTTCCATGGCGATGAAGTTTGAATTTATTTTATTTTCCAGGGTATCCATCCATCTAAACCTGGGTTCAGATGGATGGCCACAGGCAGAGCTTTACAGTCAGAGCTAACTTGTGCAGCACTGGACATTAACTTTGTAACATCGCAAAAAGAGATCGGACATTTGCACCAGCCAAAGACATACAAGTGAACACACCCACTTATCAAGTGTCTTTGCTGATTCTAAATCCTCAGATATGAAGCTAAGGAGGCTGGAAAATTCTCCCTGTCACATGTGACAGGGGTTAGCCAAGTGTGCCCAGACTGGTGTAGGCAGAAATTATGAATGAGAGTGGAGTACTGACTACATCAGTGCTTCTTATGTCATGTAAATCCAGAGACTTCCAGGCTAAGCGCTTGTCATACCTGGTTGTGTTTCCTGGTTGCCTCTTTCTGCTGCTCTTCCTCATGCACCATGGTCTCTAGGAGCTGGGTTGCTCTCCTGGATTCAGCCAGTTGATGCTCCTTCTGGCACTGAGCTCTTTTCAGTTTCTGCACCTCCAGCTTGGTGCAGAAAAGTGTGTTCTGAAGATCTAGCAGTGACATTTGCTGCTCCTGGGTTGAGAGTGGCTTCTCCGACATCTAACAAGAGTAGAAAGCAGAGAAGCTCAAAGATTCACTTCATGAGAGGGATTTAAAAATCAGGATTCCCTGCAGAACAAAACCTGATATATCTGAGGCTTTCCAGGGACATACCTGTAACTGTCCCAGACGGCTTCTGTGTAACATGTCCTGCAGCTTGGCCATTGTCTCATTCTGCCCTTCAATGATATGGTACAGCTCTTCTGTCTGTGAGTCAAAGAACAGGGAGCCCAGTCACTGGCAAAATCAAGCACCAACTCTCCTGTCCCAAGCCTCCAGCACGGATTATGACATGTCAGCATCATACAGAAATACAGAGTTTAGCATGAAATAATTTAATGAGATCCAGGATGCCTAGCAATGGCTTAAGCATTCCTTTTCAGTCACTGCCTACAAGGCTAGCGCACTTTCCCCCTTTGGGGAGCGCTAGCCTGTCCACTCAAAACCATTACCTTACTCTCTTTGCTCTTCAGGGCCTCATTCAGACTCTGGATTGTACGATCTTGCCTCTGCGATGTTTCTTGGGCAGATTTTAATTCAAAGTTCAATTCATTTAGCTTTTCCTGTAACAACTGAAGACAGAAATGTGTTGTTTTTTCAATCCTGCCTAATGCTTTACATAAACACCCTTAGGACTCTCCCTCTACTCCTTACTCAAGCCCATACAGCCCAGGTGTTCACCAAATCAAGATCAACGTGGCTCCCTCTAGAGTCTGTAAATAGTGTTTGAGCTGGGTGGAGACCAGTGAGTAAACACAAAGCCTTCAGTCCCTCCACAGCACCGTTCCAGTGCTTCTGGTCCCTTCAGTGCAGCCCTCACATGCAAGCTGGAGGTTCCAGGCTTAGGCTCACAGATCATACTGCCTCCCACATACTCCAGGAGAGTATTGCTCAGACTGCCCAGCAGCCTTCCCAGTTTCTATAATTTGTTTCTGTTCCTTTAAGAGGAAAGGGGCTGCTTCAGCCCAAAAACCTCCCAAGAGATCTGGGGGGAAAAAAAAAAAAAAAAAAAAATCAACACGGAGAAGCTACACATTCTGTCGCCTTTGCTTCTGAGGTCCTCCAGAGCATTGCAGCTGTCCCTTTACAATCTTCCAGCTCCTTCTCTTACTGTCTCCTTCGACCACCCAGGCACTCTTGCAGCAACTGCTGGTCTAGGTAATTCTACGCTTGATCAGATCAGTGGCTTATTTAGCCTCATGTTCTGGCTTCAGCACAACAGAGTCTAGCCAGTGCCAGCATGCCAACAGCACAGCTGCAAAGCAAAGGGGAACATCTCACTTGTCTCTGTGGCTGGTTTACAACCTGAGGAACTCCTGCCTTAGACTTTTTCACCCTAGAGAGACTACCATCTCAAACAGTTTTAGGACAGTTCTCTGCCTTCACCACAATGTTCATGACACAGAGTACACTGTGCATTTAAGCAGCTGCTTGTTAGCACTTCTAAACATGCTGCCTGGTAGCATTCTTAGTCTTTGATGAGATGCAGCTTCCTCAGAACTTACTCAAGCCTCAGTTTCTCAAGAAGTTGGTGCTGCCACGTGAGCTCCTCTTGTTGCTCATTAGTTTACACACCTGTCATGTTATCTCTTCTCTACGAGACACACACCCTAAACTGTTTAAACACTTCCAACTGCATTTACTGGGCCTTGGGCCTCCTAATTCCCTGTCAGCCTTCATGACCCAGGCAGCTCCAACAGCTTACAGCCATGCCCAGATTTAATAAAGATCCTGCCCCAATGTTTTTCCCCCCCCATTTAATCCCTCTTTTTTTCCAGTGGGTATAATTTACCTTAGAGTTCACGAACATAACTAAAAACACCAGCACCTTGCAACGTGTTAAATTTGACCTTCCTCAAGACAAATCCTAAGAAAGCTTTTAAATCAAAATGAAAACAGGACCCCCTTTGCACTGATCTGTCTTACTACTTGCAAAAAAGAAGGCAGCTGTCTCAAAAGGCAGGTGCTCTTCTCTCCTGCACTAGGCTCAGCCCATGCAAATCCAAGAGACAGGGAAACAGCACTGTGCATCTCTCCTTCACCAGTTCCCAGAAGGCTCACCAGGAAATCGGGAAATTCTTCCAAAATAATCGTTTGCAAAAATAAATACAGAAAATTTACACAGCACAGCTGCAGAAAAAAAGTAAATGCTTTTAACTCAAGCTGGCAGACCACAGCACTGAGAATCATGCATCAGTGCACACCCTTGCTGGAAGAGAGACACAGATGCCTGACTCTGGTCAGGCTAGGAGGCACCTTCCAATGCTAACTTCCTCAGACTTACTAGGTACTGAATTTGCTGTTCACAAAGAAATACCTTGTTGGCAGCTTCAAATTGCTGGATTTTGCCCTGCAGCTCTGCAGCACACAGACTGGACACATGCTCCCCCGCTGTAGGGTCACCTGGAGCCAGCTGCTGACGTTCATCCTGCAAATTCTGGAAAAAAAAAAAAAAAAAAAAGGAGAGAAATGGCTCAAGTCTTGCACTGGCTTCTTCTATTCAGCTGTCAGTCCTCAGAGATCTTGCAGCATGGACTTAAACGATGCTGCCTGTGTCACTTCACCTGTGTGGCAGGCTGGCACCTGGCTGCTCTCTGCCTGACCTGCCAGGAGTTCCCTGCTGCCCCGAGGCTCTGGTTGGGCTCCCTGTCTCTCCTCACTCCCGTACTGTGAGCCCAGCAGCTTGTCTGGCTCTAACCACTCTCTGCAGGCTGATGACGGATCTGGTCCCCACACTCAGGTCACATCCCTAAAACCTTCTTCTCACGTGCCCTGCTAGCAGTTTTAAAACAAAGCCAGCACCAAACCGAACTCCTCCTTCCCACCTTCTGCCAAGCTGCTTCTTAATCGAGCCCACAACCTTCAATCCTTCCCACCAACTATCCTCCTGCCATGACCTGACAGTCACACCCTACTGAACCCCTCCACTTGTGATTCTCTGGGCTCTCCTTCACAGCTCCCCATGCTCCGGCACCCACATCGTGTGCTATTCCCTGCAGCTCCACAAAGCGTAGCAAATTCAATGCCACAGCTGAGATTTTTTTTTGTGACACACATCCATTTATTGAGAACCTAAACAGCCTGCTTTCTGACGCGTGGTCTGTCAGACCCTGCTGGCTGAGCACACACTAATCCCTTGTCATCCCTTCTTAATCTTGTGCTGCCTCCTGCCTAGGGAGTTGTTAACTCCTGAGAGCAGCATTCAAACCAGCCACCCGCCCCAGCCCTCCCAGGACTAGTGAAGTATTCCCGAATATCATCAGCAATACAAGATCAACCGTGCTGATGCCTGTGTTAAGTGGGAGCCCTGGCAAGCACAGGGTCGCAGTGCAGACAGAGGCTACGAGAACATCCCGGAGCTTTTCAGAACACCAGCTCCAGGCAGCACAGCACAGGGAGAACAACAGCCAGCCCTGATTAGCCCTGTCAGACTGAATTCCTCATCTTCAGCAGCCACAAAAATGCTGTCTCTGGGAAACGCAGGCAGCGCAGGGGAGCTCCCCCACGCCTGTGCATCGCCTCTCACATATAGAAGCTTCCATACAGAAGCTATGCTTCCCCTTACCCTGACGTTTTTTTAAGATTTTACTGAAACCTTGAACAGTCACAGCAAGTCATTTCAAATTTGCCCAGCCAGAAAGCTTTGGATCAGACAGGGAGAGCTGCTAGAATCCCTCATACCTGCAGCTATTTTGAAATAAGGCTGATTAGAAAAAAACAGGGGTGGGGAGAAAAAAACACCTTTCTTCACAATTTGCACATAACAAAGAAAAATAAGCAGAAAGCTTGCAAAGAGCTAAGAGTAGGTAAAGGAAAGGCAGAGTCAGCTCCAGAGTCCAAAGTCCCAAAGCCCAAGCTGCCTCCCCCTCATGCCTCCCTGCAGTCATGTCAGGATCACGGCTCCACAGCCGTTTCTCCTACATCAGCATTTTACTGGCAATCTCTCCTCAGTGCAGCTCCAGCAATGCCGGCACACACTGACCTAGACAGAACACTTCTTTAAAAACAAAAATAATAATAATCACGGCATTATCTGAGCCTGCCAAGCTCACATCTGCCCAGAACAGTGGGTAAAAGACTGGCTGCCAGTCAAACAACACTTCCCTTGCTGCCAGCACGGCACTGCAGGCAGCTGCAAGAGCGGGTCCAACGAGGGCTGGGTTTGGTGGCATTTTCCTGGGGCTGCTGGTGCTGAAGGGGAAGAATCGATGGTTCAAGAAAACACCCAAGAAGACAGTACCGAAGAGATCACATGTCCCTGGCACCAGATTGCTCTCAGTCATTGTAGCTTATGGCAGTAAATTTGAAGGAGAACTGCAGTTTCCCAAAAGCAATCAGGGAACTGTCATCCTGTATATCCCTTTCACGCTACCAGAAAGGCGCTTGTGCATATGAATTGCTAGAGAGCGGTACCTGACTTTTAGAAAGTGTGTTGCTTGTACAAAGAGAAAGAAAAATCATTTACATAAGAACTATTTATTTTACTACCTGCACCTGACATCTCATTTTGCTGTTAAAGCCATCCGAAGGATTAAGCGCTTTCCCCATTATGCCAGACCCTGCACCGAAGCCCACAAGTGCTGCTGCCACAGCAAGAAACGGGAAGTAAAAAATCCCACAGGATGAATTCCTGGCAGGGACAGTCGGATGGCAGAGGCTAGAGGTTGGACCAACTCCTCTAAAGCCATTCCCAGACAAGGATGGTGATGTGTGACACGAAGCACAAACGCGCCACGTTGGTTGTGCCACGTTCTGTTAAGAGAAAGCCTATTTTTACACTGCAAATATATCCGTAGCAGTGAAAACCAGTACCAAGCAACGCAGCCTACAGGAGCAGCACCAACGCCCGACTTCACAGCTCCAGTCACTGGCTGCCAGCACCATGCCTGTGTGCACCAGATGAGAATCAGGTTTTCTACAGTTCTCCCTAGCACCATCTCTTGAGCAGGTTTCTATGGAAAAAGCAGACAGCTCTGGGAAACGCCCAAGCAGATGGGACAGCAAGCAAAGCTGGCTGAATAGGAAGCGTAATTCAGCACAGCCGCAGTTGCCATAGTAATAAACAAGCATTTTCCTAATCCCCCAGGCTACCTACAGCATTAGACAGCACTAAGGCTGCTAATGGGAATGCAATTAGGCTGACATGGATATTCCTGAATTGAAGCTGACTGAAACCTCCCATTCATTAAGTAAAGTGGTAAAGGAGTTACAAGTTCAGCTTTTTGACTGCATACTAATGAAGATTTCATTAAAGCCAGCAAAACAGAGGCAGTCCGGAGCTACACGAGGACTACCATCCAGGCAGAGAATAGCACCAGGAAGTCCCACGAAAGCAGGAGCTTTCATCACCTCTTAGCAACACCTGCTGTTAATTGATGAATCTTTTCAAAGGATCAGAAAATAAACCAATTATCTAGAATACCAACCCTAAAGTCATCCTCTGGCACAAATCCACCTGCAAGGAAAACACCTTTTCCTCAGGGCATCCACCACAGATCCCTGCACGGATCTGCACGTTAGGCAGGTTGGAGGCCTGATCTGCAGAGGCAGGTGTTCCCCACACTGAACATTACCCAGGCACAAAGGGTAAATTTGCTGAAAAACACATGCCCAGCAGCTTGAAACACTCCCTTTGGTTAAGGGTAAAAGTCACGTCAACTTCTTAAAGAGAAAGCTTAAGTGAAACCGAAGTTTTCTCACTAGAAAAATGACTAAGCATGCAAAGAGCTTGGACCCATCTAGCAAGCTGCATTCACAGGGAGAGCTGATGCAGGAGGGGACAGTTAATTTCCCAGAACACAAGGAGGAAACGACAACAGAAGAATGACAGAGGAGAGAGGCAGCACACCTAAAAAGGACCGAGCTGCCTATTCTTAGCCCTGGGTTCAGCAACACATGGCTATCTGTATTATCTCAGCACAGAAGAATCCCTAGTGGGCTCCACATCAAGCCACATGGACACTGCTCAATCGAACAGCAGCACAATGACCTCTACCTGTACCCGTAGCGGCATATAATCCTCACAGAGGTCATCCCACAGCTCCTGCAGTTCAGAAATCTCCAGGGAAAGACCCAAAGAAGCTCTGGAAAAGGATTTTCTGTCTGTGTTCAGGAAGACAGAACCAGCACACACTAAGCCAGCAGAAGTGCTGCCATCTGTCAGGTCACGGCTGAGCTTGGGAGGGGGCAAGCTGGACTTCACAGGAATAGGTAGCCTGCTGCCTCGGGGGCTCTGAAGGGGTTTGTAGTCCAAAGCCTTGATCAAACTGAGAGCCAGCTCCAGCCTGTTCCCGCTCAGTGAAGAGTTTGGGGTCATGCGGTCATCTGAGAAATCGTCACATTTCCCATTCCCTTTCACCCCCTTATCTACATCTTCATCCTTCTGCTGCGAAGGACCTGACTCCACAGTCGTGTCCAGGGACTCAATGGAGGAGGCAGGTGTGCCTTCCTCCATGCTCTCCCCATCCACAGGCCCTCTGGCACCAGCAGACTCAGCCGCATCACACACAGATGACTCCTCATTGCCCATGCTGGCCGACCACCGGCTGGAGAGCCCGCAGGAGATGCTTCTGGCCACTTTCCGCGGCACTTTGCAAATAGCTTCATAGTCGGCATCAGCCACCCGCAGCGCGGCACAGCCACGGCAGCGCCGTGGGCGGTTACTCGCTCCCTCTGAAGCGTGGCAGTTGTGTGGCTCCAAGCTGTGCTCTTCTTGATCCATCCAATATTCGTACCCAGAATAAGCAAAATCCTCCTGAAGGAGGGCAGCGTACCGTACATCAGGCAGGTTAGAAAGGTCCACAGTCCCATCCCCAGCCCTGTCTTCCGTGCTGGAGTCTTCGTTGTTCTTGCGGTACATGCTTGCAATGCAGAACTTGAGGCGGTCTTTCTCCAGCAGCAGTTTCTGCAGGCGCTCAATGGAAAGGGCTTCGATGCGTGCGATGACAGTGTCGAACCTGTAGATGCGGTCCAGCATGAAGGCACACTTGCTGCAAACGAACTCGGATTTGCCATCCCGGCACAGCTCCCTGCCCAGGACGTGGGAGAGCAGCACCTGGAGGTTCAGCTTGGCTGCCGTGTGGAAAATCCATCGCCGCTGGTTGCCACACAGCTCCCGGGCGCAGACTCGGCAGGTTTCCTTCATCCTCTTTCCTGACCAGCACCTCAACCTACTTCTGGGGGTTCTCAAGAGGCCCTCCTGAGGCCTCTACCTCTCACTCAGCACATCTCTCGGGGCAAAGCTCCCTCACACCCTGAGCCCGCTGGCACTTCTCACCCCTCCAGTCCTCCCTTTTTAGGGGGGTGACAGGCTGGGACTACTGGCACTACAGAAATATGCTACCCTACAGCATCCCCTTCACACCTCTCTCCAGCCA